CGTGAATGTCTACTTGAGTCGGCCTAATAACTCTGCTCCATGTTTATTTATACTTACACACAATTCAGATTAATTGATTTACTTATAAAAAGTTTATAATTAATTCTTGTGTCTTTGACAGAGAAAATAAACATGAGCAAGGATCATCTTACATCGAAGGCCTTTGTGCTAAAGCCTGTCCTTGCCTTTTTGTTGTCATAGTCAATAGAAGTTACTGTAACAGCAACTTTTGCTCCTTATTTAGGCGTGAATGTCTACTTGAGTCGGCCTAATAACTCTGCTCCATGTTTATTTATACTTACACACAATTCAGATTAATTGATTTACTTATAAAAAGTTTATAATTAATTCTTGTGTCTTTGACAGAGAAAATAAACATGAGCAAGGATCATCTTACATCGAAGGCCTTTGTGGTAAAGTCTGTCCTTGCCTTTTTGTTGTCATAGTCAGTAGAAGTTACTGTAACAGCAACTTTTGCTCCTTATTTAGGCGTGAATGTCTACTTGAGTCGGCCTAATAACTCTGCTCCATGTTTATTTATGTTTACACACAATTCAGATTAATTGATTTACTTATAAAAAGTTTATAATTAATTCTTGTGTCTTTGACAGAGAAAATAAACATGAGCAAGGATCATCTTACATCGAAGGCCTTTGTGGTAAAGCCTGTACTTGCCTTTTTGTTGTCATAGTCAATTAAGAGGTAAGCAGAGAATTTAAGACACACAGATTGTATTTATAAATGACAAGTACTGATGGTTTTACTGTCGGCAGGCATGTCTGAGAATACTCATAACAAGGAGCAATGGCAGCTCCTCCACAGTCTTCGATCTACTGTAGAGGGTCTGCTGATCGATGAGATGTCCAATGTGTGGAATGTTTATGGTGGTCTAAATCGGCTGCACAGTGTAATGGAACGGATATTCAAGCATGGGTGTCGCATATTTGAGCCTAATGTTAGTTGAGTTTCTCGCTTCTAAAGTTTCTTTATTAAAGATATGTTTGAATTTTTAATTGTTATGATGTGTAATAATATGTTACAATTATATTGTGTGGACTACAAAAAACTTTTTTCAAAATTAACTGGAACCAAAGTAGGTGTTTCTTATAGATTTTGAGTCATCGAATCCAAATTCGTAAATCATTTTGTTTTATTACATCTGATTTTTTTAGATAATCGAGAAAAACAATGGAAAATTGTAGAGAGCCAAATTGTTATATATGCTAAAATTTAGGATGCTTATGAATTATAAAATTTGCCTGCATTCTTATACATTGACTATTTCTCTGAAAATCTTGGAGATTTCAGTGAAGAACAGGTGAAACTCAGGTGAACTCGGCGAAGAACAAAAAGATTTCATTAGGATATCAAAGACATGAAAAATGTTTGAGATGAACATATGTTACATTTTTACTGAAATTAAATTTTTTTACTTTGATAAAGTAAAGAGAGAAAACAAAAAAAGGATATAAGAGAAAATCACTCGTTTTTATTTACGGCTCTTTCCGTTTCTATTTACAACATATTATTACAACATAATAGCAACAGCACAAATTCCGATGATGACGCTTTCAAAGTTCCCGGCAAGTTGCTATTTAAAAGATCTGTTCTTCTCTATCAGTGAATTCTTTGAACTAACGCACACCATAATAAGTTGAAGTAAAACAAATATAAGATCTGTTTTTTAGCGGAACTAGTATACACTTTTGAAACTTAAAATGAGATAGATATATGTTTGGCACTTGGTGAATGCGAAAAAGAGTTTTAGTGCAGTTTAGTGCAGGAATAAAAAACAGACCTATAATTTATTTCATTTCAACTCATTGCATCGGTTCAGAGTTATTTGATAAAAAAAAAACAGTCCTAATGGTCTATCGTAAATGCACCGATTTGCTAATAAACGTGAAATCAGTTGCTACAATTTTGGTAGCATCATATAATATAGTGTGAGCAAAATGCTAGCAACATATACACATAGCTACCTGGTCATTATCGCAATTAGTGAGTCTCCTGATAAAGAAGAGAACTCTAGTATCTGAATCATTCGGTTATCGGAATGCCTTGCCCCTCGACATGTTCACATAAGCAGAATTCTACTATATGTGAAAAAATGTTTCATATGAATATACAAATCTTATATTATGAACAAATTTTATAAGGGTGAGCCGGATTGCTGGATATTCATTCAAGGACTGAATTGGCTTCAACCATCTTTGGCGACCTCACCAATATTGTCAGAAAACGAGGATTATTTATGCAATTTACCAGCTAGGATAACATCCAAGAAGGATATGTTTTTTTTAATGAGTCCGTATCTAAAAAAATCTGTATATTAATTTACAGTTTAGAGGGTCATTCTTTATCACATAAATTATCGTGGCTGCTATCAGATAAGGAACATTTGCTTTCTTGTTTGGAACCATGGGCATTCCTTTGCCAAGAGAATTTGGCAGAGGCAACGCTTTTGTATCTAAGAGCAGTTGAGAGAAATCAACC